TGAGAAGACACAGATATGAGGACAGGAATCCGAACACAACCACCTTTCTCAACGCAAGGTTTAAGGACAGTTTTGTTATTTTAAGAAGAGGATAAACAAAATATCATAGATAATGTCCATTTACTTAGAATAGGAGTACAAAGTAAGCAAACACCCTCTCCAGGTGCCAAGCAACCAGCAAAGAAAACCCAAACCAGAACTGAGGGACTGTTAACAATCATACAGGGGGAAATAAAGTGAATGGTAAATGGTCTGTACTTGTATAAGCTTTTCTAGTTTTCCAACAACGCAAAGCCCTTTAACACGACATTCATGCACACATTCACAACTGACGGCAGGTGCTACCATGCAAGGTGCCACCTGCCCATCAGGACTATCTAACATTCACACCCATACATACAGCGCAGGAACAGCCTGCGGAGCAATCTGGGGTTAAGTGTCTCGCCCAAGGACACATCGACATGGACTAGCGGAGCCGGGGGATCGAACCGCCGATCCTTTTGATTGAAGGACGACCCCGCTCTACTACTGAGCCACAGTCGCCCCCAGAACATGGAGGATGCATCATCGAGAGAAGAGGATGCAGAACTCTAAAATGAGCTCACGTTGTATGAAAATATGCATGAACCCACTCACATGGTTGCTGACAAATTAGAAGCCTGGACATACTTATGATACGCAGATAATGCAGTTACATACAAATATTGTATACAGATGATACTGTGTATACTGCATTTACACATATATGCAGGCAAAGTTATTACATGCCCTATGAATGCCCAAACAAGGAAAGATAAGAAATGAAAGAATAAAAAAGTATTTTGCCTTCAATACAAATAGCAAGAATCTTCAGTATCTAAACACAATTAAGGGGATATTCTACCCAGATCGGAACGTTTTACAGACAAATGGAATCCAGCCTCTCTTAGACCGGTTTGAGACCACTACTATAAACTATCTAGTACAAGGCATGTCTCAAATATATGTGTCTCTCTGATATACGTAGGTGCCAGGGGACCTGCTGTGTCAGCCTTCAATAGACCCGAGGTTAATAAAACAGGCTTATCTGGGAAACACAAGGCTGCATTACTGTTCAAAAACCTCTGTGAATGTGGAAACTTACAATATTGCATTACTATGTCAACATTTCATCATCAGGGAATTCATAGCGCCCTTTGATTAGATAACACAGACACACAGACACACAGCCTTTGCTTTCTTGCCCTCATAGTCATTTCATATGAATCAATACAACTCTGAACAGTGACCGGTCTTGCTCTCGGCATGCCTGTCCAAAAGACTAGACCTCTGACTTGTATTCACTGACACATGTGGCTCTGCAGCTGGTGATATCGTCTTTCCAACAGAGGAATAAATCAGACCCTTATTTAGTGTGGATTGATCCAATCAATTTTGTCACCACAGGAGTAGGTTGATGGTGCGATTCAAGCACTGTGTGGGGTGTGATGTGCCTTCGCCTGCGCTGTGAGCCATTTTGCAGACTTAGAACAGGTCTGTGCTTGTGTAGATAAATGCTGTACTGAAAATATACTTATGCTTCATGTGCAATTTTAAAACAACGGACAGCGGAGTGCCATTTGTATGTGTGAAGTTAACCATCTGCAGCCAATCCACCACCCATAAACCTGCTAAGCTCGGCCGGGGCTCTCTGCTCGTCCTATTTAATTATCTTGCTCTGCCTCCGCCAGCTAAAAAAAAGAAAAATTCAGTTTTCTGCAACAGGTCAGGCGTACATCTTCACCCATTGCTTAGTGAGCACTGGGGGGGAGGGGGGGGGATAGGGGTGGAGAGAGAGCACAGATCATAATGGCCGCCCAATTATCAGTAGAACGGGAGCTGAGGAGTTGGGAGGAGTGAGAGATTATGTGTGGAATGGATCAATACACCAGTCAGTTTCTAATGAGGGGAAGAACTGGTCCAAGTCAAGCAGATGGAAATCCTGCCCAGCCTGGGGTGGTCTTTCTACAATGTCTGTCAACAGGGCGTGATGTTTTTGGTGTTGCTTTGTACAACGGCGCCCCAACAGGACAATGACTGCTACCACACTGGATCGGTGATATTCACACATTTACCGCATTTATTGCATTCACAGTGTTTCTCACACGCTCTCCTGATCCACCCACATTCCACTTTTAATATTTCATACATCACGAGGGGCAGATTTAGTAGAGCCTGAAGAATAATGGCTGTCTGTCGTTCACCAGCCCCCTTTTAACCACCCACAACTGCCAGCACAGGACAGTAAATCCTACGCCTCACCCACTCCCCCAGCCCAGCAGCTTAGCTGTGTGCTACTATGCAATCACACAACATGCACTCCTCTGCTTACATAAAAGGAAGCAAGCTTAAAAGGCTAAAACCGCAAACAGCCTCTGCTTTATTTTCCAAAGCAGCGACTGGAATAAGCACTAACCAACTGTTCAGCACCGTCATGAGGTATTTGGTACCGTTGTTCTTCTCTGGTTGCTTCACTATTTTCTACATCTGCCTTTCTTTCCTTTTTTCTCTGAGGGGCCTTGTGTTGGGTGGGGGTGTTATTTATGGCTGCTCTGTGCAAGTGGACACACACACACACACACACACACACACACACACACACACACACACA